GGTCTTAGTCTGGCTTAACGACATAGCTCAGGGGGTTTGAATTTTTCACACTCTTGAGTGACATAGCTCGGTGGATCTAAGTTTTAGGTGTAGCCCAGGTCGCAGACAAAAGAGGTGACAGAGAAGCTGGGCTTTTTGTGGGGTTTCCCCTATAGAAAGGGAGGCTAGCTTCGGTGTGGAGTATCTGCCAAACAGAGCTAGAGTGCCCAGGCCAGGCAGCACTGGTGAACAGGCTGTGAAGAGGCAGGACTTTGCTGAACCCTGGGAAGCGATGACGGAAAAGACTAGGGATAGTAGAATACTTCTGTGGGCTGGAGGCCCCGTGTTTCCACCTGTCTCTGGTCAGGTGTCCCAGACTGTGGCTTCCAGAGATGGTGGGAGGAAACTCCCCTGAGTAGGGCAGACCCTGGGAGAAAGGCTATTGACCCTGTGGAGGGATGTTTCATATGGACTGTCCTTGTTTTGTACGGACTATCCTTCCCCTGCAAGATGAGAATGTTCAGTGATTTAACTGCAGGGCCAAATCACCCTACCAGCCTGAGAAAACTGAGGCAGTGGCTCCACCTCCATGCTGGAGAGGTATGATGGCTGTTATATGGGTACTCCCTCTATTTTATTTACTGCACAGGCTGATGGTACTATCTGCATCTGCTGTAAGGTGATGAGAGGCGTGCGTCACTGTGTTTTAGTCTATAAAAAAAGCCAAGTGACAGTGCTATGGCACCCTATGGAAGTTCCTGCCCAGGTGACCGCCCTGCTTGCCCACCCCTAGAACCAGCCCTGACTGTGGCAGAACAATGGCTCTCTGGCTGCGGCCTGAGTGGGTGAGTAAACATGTCAGCACAAGCCTGCTGTGCCTCTGAGCAGGACAGCAGGATTTAATATTAGTCTACCATGAGGCCAAGGGTCAGCAGCCAAGGGGAGATCATCCATCAAGGCCAGTAGCCCTCTCTTTGGTGATTTGTTCCTCAAAAACATTTCTTATTCCTTGTAACTTTCTTCTTACACTTTCTCCTCCTCTTTATGGTTTCACTCTGGCTGGATTTCCGCTTGCTGAAAGACACCCACTGTGCCCAAACAATCTCTTGAAGCTCGACTTCTAAGCAGTCTGATTTGTTTCCTGAGAACGGCCATACTGGGTCAGACCAATGGTCCATCTAGCCCAGTAGCCTGTTTCCAGCCCATGTCAGATGCTTCAGAGGGAATGCACAGAACAGGGCAATTCCTGCTTCACTTTCCGTATAGGGGCATGCATGGACTCTCTTCTGGTCGCCCTCTTCTGTTGTAAGGCCTTCTCTGAACACGGAAGTTGCATCAGTTTGAAAACTGATTTAGTTAATCCAGTGCAAATCATAGAATCATAGAATATAAGGGTTGGAAGGGACCCCAGAAGGTCATCTAGTCCAACCCCCTGCTCGAAGCAGGACCAATTCCCAGTTAAATCGTCCCAGCCAGGGCTTTGTCAAGCCTGACCTTAAAAACCTCTAAGGAAGGAGATTCTACCACCTTCCTAGGTAACGCATTCCAGTGTTTCACCACCCTCTTAGTGAAAAAGTTTTTCCTAATATCCAATCTAAACCTCCCCCACTGCAGCTTGAGACCATTACTCCTCGTTCTGTCATCTGCTACCATTGAGAACAGTCTAGAGCCATCCTCTTTGGAACCCCCTTTCAGGTAGTTGAAAGCAGCTATCAAATCCCCCCTCATTCTTCTCTTCTGCAGGCTAAACAATCCCAGCTCCCTCAGCCTCTCCTCATAACTCATGTGTTCCAGACCCCTAATCATTTTTGTTGCCCTTCGCTGGACTCTCTCCAATTTATCCACATCCTTCTTGTAGTGTGGGGCCCAAAACTGGACACAGTACTCCAGATGAGGCCTCACCAATGTCGAATAGAGGGGAACGATCACGTCCCTCGATCTGCTCGCTATGCCCCTACTTATACATCCCAAAATGCCATTGGCCTTCTTGGCAACAAGGGCACACTGCTGACTCATATCCAGCTTCTCGTCCACTGTCACCCCTAGGTCCTTTTCCGCAGAACTGCTGCCTAGCCATTCGGTCCCTAGTCTGTAGCTGTGCATTGGGTTCTTCCGTCCTAAGTGCAGGACCCTGCACTTATCCTTATTGAACCTCATCAGATTTCTTTTGTCCCAATCCTCCAATTTGTCTAGGTCCTTCTGTATCCTATCCCTCCCCTCCAGCGTATCTACCACTCCTCCCAGTTTAGTATCATCCGCAAATTTGCTGAGAGTGCAATCCACACCATCCTCCAGATCATTTATGAAGATATGCCTATGTGGACAAATAATATTTATTTAAAACTAGTTATATTGTCTTAACTTGCATCTGTAAACCTACCAGCACAAGTTAACCTGATATTAAACACAAGCCTACATTGAAAGGACTTTAAGGTTGCAAAATCAAGCACTCAGAAGTTAGGCAATGCTAGAATTAAGGCTGCGTATGCAACCTTAATTTGGCCCCTTGTGCATGTGCATATACGGTACAATACAATTTTTAATGACATAATCACATACTTTCCCCCCCACACACACACACAGAACCTTGCCTCATTCAATGCACAGGCTGAGCCTGCTCTGGGAATGAATCAGGCCTGTGTAGCTAAGCAGGCCATCTTGGCCGACTTGACGCTCTTTTAACATAGTTTTGGATGTGTAACTTCCTAGCCGGTTTTAAAAGCAAATTGCTGGTTTTAAAAGCAAACTAAATTCCATCATATGGACAGGTATGTGGTTCATCAGCAGGGTTGGCACCTTCAGATCTACTGCACAGATCTCTCTCACTTGAGGTAAGGGGAGGATCCAAAAGCAGCAGTAGGTGTTTATTCTCTGGACCAGAACTAAAGAGGGTGGAGCACTTTGCCAGCAGATTGTATAGACTTCAGAAATTATACATGATTTTCTAAAGCAAAGTAACTCTCTTGGTCCTCTATATGGTGGATAAATTATCACTGAACAGGATGTTGGTGCCTAGGAACCAGTAATCATGACCTGACTATATTCAATATGGGCAAACAGAGTACAGTTCCAACAAGTAATAGAATGACTTGGTGCTTCAAAATGTCCAACTTCCCAAAGCTGAGGAAAATTACAAGAAAAATTGACCAGGAGGAAAAGCGTAGGCGGGAAAATGTGAATGAAGATTGGAAGCTCTTTAAGAAGGCTTGGTTAGATGGCCAAAAAAAAAGACCATTCCACAGTTAAGAAAGAGGACAACTCTGCATAAAAACCATCTTGGTTCAGTTAGAAAGTGAAGGCAGCAATTAGAAATAAAACTTTATAACAAATGAAAAAAGTAAATAACAATCAATACAAGTGAGGAGGTATGAAATATAGACAATAGATAAGTGAAGCTAAAGACACCAGGGAAAAATTCATGGCTGGGAGGCCTAAGGACAATAAAAAGTTTTAAGCGTATTGGGAACATAAGAAATCTTAACAATGGAATAGGCGCATTACTCTATGGAGATGGAAAATTGTTAATAATGATGCAGAAAAGGCAGAAGTGATCAATAAATATTTTCTGTCTATATTTGGAAACAAGCAGGATGTACTTTTTTCGCACAAGGATGATGAATCACTTAGGACAGGTGTGGGCAAGCTACAGCCCAGGGGCTGCATCCGGCCCTCCAGACGTTTTAATCTGGCCCTCGACCTCCCACCAGGGAGTGGGGTCCGGGGCTTGGCCTGCTTCACGCGGCTCCCAGAAACAGAGGCATGTCCCCTGCTCTGGCTCCTACGCATAGGGGCAGCCAGGGATATCCACATGCTGCCTCTGACCCAAGCTCCGCCCCCGCAGCTCCCATTGGCTCCCATAATTAATATTCCTGCCTTTCCCCCTATCTAATGTAACTGTGAATCTTCATCTGACTGCTACTAAACTGGGGGCCTCTATCACACCTTGTCACTGCAGGTAAGGCACAGTGGCTGTTGGGGCATGGGGCTAATTTGGGAGGGCAGTTAGGGAACCGACAAAATGGCTCTGAGCTGGATAGCTGGCTAGGTTCATCATTTATCCAAACTAGCTTGCCCACACCTACTGAGTATACCAACACCGCTGGCCCAAATCTGTTGTAAGTTACCAATGAAATGAGTTTGCTGGTCTCAGTTGAGCTCCTCCTGGTTCTTTGTGAATGCACGGATATGCAGAGGCCCAAGACTAACAGCAGGGGGTGCTATGAGTTAAAGATGAGGCACATTTGCAGAGTTGGAATAGCAAGGGGGGCTGCAGGCTGGATTTGAGGGGTCTCAGCAGAGCTGGGAGGGGAGCCCCAGAATGGGGCAGGATCGAGGGGGTCTCAGCAGCGCTGAGATGGGAGCCCCAGGCTGGAAGAGCAGGGCGCTGAGGGTCCAGATTGCGGGGTCTCAGTAGAGCTGGGAGGGGAGTCCTGCACTGGGGTAGGATTGAGGGGTCTCAGCAGAGCTGCCAGGGGAGCCCCAGGCTGGAAGAGCAGGGCGCCGAGGGTCCAGATTGCGGGGTCTCAGGAGAGCTGGGAGGCGAGCCCTGGACTGGAATGGTGCGGGGCTGTGGGGCAGGATTGATGGGTCTCAGCAGAGCTGCCAGGGGAGCCTGAGGGGTATCAGCAGAGCTGGGAGGGGAGCCCCAGGCTGGAATAGCGGGTGGCGGGGGGGGAAGCTGTGGGTCAGGTTTGTGGGGCATTACTGACCACGTTTTGCAGAGCCCCTGCCCTGCCGCTGTGGACGCTGGGCGCTCCGGGGTGCAGGGGAGCCGGGCACCAGTGTGCCCTGGCCAGGCTGCTCGCCCCTTTCCCCGCACCCTGGCCCGCGCCCCTTCGCGGGCGCCTTTCCCAGCCTGTGCCGGGCGCCGGCCCCTCGCTGGGAGCTTGGGTGGGCAGCGCTGCCTCCCTCCTCCGGAGCCGTGACGGGGCCATCAGCCCTTCGGGGCGGAGTGCAAAGAGCCCGGCCTCCCGGGCCTGCAGCGGGGGGGGGGAGCCCCGGGACACGCCTCCTCCCGAGGAAAACAAAAACCAGCCCCCAGCGGAGCCCAGCCGGGTAGTGCAGCGCCGAGCCGAGCCGAGCCCAGCCCAGCCCAGCCCAGCCCAGTCCAGTCCAGCCCAGCCCAGCCCAAGGTACGTGCCTTGGGGCAGCTGCTCCCACGGCCGGGGGCCTGGACGCTGCCCCATGCCGGCCGGATCCCCCGTGGGCTCCCTCGCTTGCAGAGCCCCCAGCCCCACGCCCTGCATCGGGCAGCAGCTCCCTGTCCGGCCAGGCCCAGCCCAGCTCTGCTCCGGGGCTTTCCACCCAGCGCCGGAGCCTGCGTCAAAGGAGCCGCGCTCCGGACCATTAGTGTGAAAGCCAAGGGCTTGAGTCAGAAAAGGAGCTGGCCAGTGTCCTTTTGCTCTGGGGAGTTGGGGGAGAGGGATAGATGGTGGCGGGGGGAGCCCTGGTTCTGTTATTACGCGGATTTTGTGCTGCCCTGGGAGGCTGGTGCCCAGGGAAGTGCTAAGGGGCACCGGGTCTGGTTTAGCTCTCTTGGACCCCAGTCATCAAACGGGGCTGTTCTCCAGAGCAGGGCAACTTTGCACTGCTCCCAGCTACAGAGCCAGCCGCATCCCTGCCTCGGTTACGTGCGCACTGAATTCGGAGTGACTGCAAATCGAGCTGGCTTGGAGGTGCTGAATTCAGAGCAGGGTTTCCGGGTTGCTCCCTTCTGCCCCCCCCTCCCCAAAATCTTTAGGGGAGTCATCCGAGTGCATGGCTCTGCTGCTGCCGGACCAGCACCGGGATGAGCTGCCCAACGCAGGCTGGGGTTGTAAACATCTCCCACGCCCCAAAGCTGGGTTGTTCGGAAGAGAGGTTCAGAACTTGGGACCAGCTGAGTCTCTCCTCTGGGTTCGGGTTGCAAATCCCAAGGCTGACTGGTCCAGGGGCTTTGTTTCAGGTCCAGGTTTTTGAGGGTCCCTTTGGATTATAACCTGTGCTACCAAATATCATCCCTGTCATGGCTACACAGACAGAGCTGCCCCACAATTGTATTTCAGGGCTGTGAAGTTGTACATCCCCAATGTCCTCCCCACATCTCCCTGTTCCTGGCTCTGGCAGGCAGGTAGGATCTTGCCGCTGTTCAGAGGAGTTCTTCAGTCATGTAGTGTAAAGCTGCCTGCGTCTCGGCCCTGTTTCAGCAGTAACATCAGCTTGTTACAATGGAATCCCATCACCAGCCAGTGTGTGCAAAGACTCCCCCACACCTGCCAGGGCAGCATGTTAGTCTTGTGCACGGATATCCGTAGCAGGAGAGGGGCTTGCCCATGCCACAGCAAGTGCCAGGCAACGTCCTGGGCTGTGTTTCGGTTTGACTATTGTGATCTACCTCTCTGAGCTTCCAGGCTGCCTCCGTTGCACGCGGGGCATGGCAGGAACCCTCTGAACAAAGCGGTATGCTGTGACGCTGGGAGACCCTTGGGTGAGGATGGAGTAATCATCATGCTATACTTCTGGGTGAACGTAGAAATGAAGGGTTCATGCTGCTGGCTGGAGCTGCGCGTGGTGGGGTCTGGTCTGGGGCAGGCTTCATCTGCACGCGTATAGCTCTGTGAGTGCTCCTCAGTCCTGGGTTCTAGCACCTCCTATTTCAGTCTTGCACCCCTGTTAGCTCTGCCAGTGGCCCTCAAGCCTGACCTGCAATGGCAGTAGTCCTACGTCTTCCTGCAGCCCTGTCTGTGCCCCACAATGCTGACGCCCCACTCGCTTCCCCCAGATCACCTGTTCTTCCAGACCTGGGCCAAATCATGTGATGGGGTTTTGACGCAGAGTCCACAGTGAATGTTTACTGAGACCTCCCCAACTCGTTTCGCCTGTGACCAAAGTCTGGAAATGAGGTTGGTCTTCACACCACCTCTTGCCAGTGCTTAGACCCTTTGCTTTTTTGAGCATGAGTAGCACCCATCCTGGTGGATAAAGGCGTGGGCCCAAGTTCTGATCTCTGCGATTGTGGGGAATCCTACAGCCATGTTTTTTGACACATTTTGGGGGAAATGTGTGAGGCTGAGGGGAAAATAAGACTGGACACAAGGTGTAAGTTTTTAACGGTGAGAGTCGTTAACTCTTGGAACATGTTACCCAGGGTCGTGATAGATTCTCCATCACTGACCATTTTTTAATCAAGGCTGGATGTTTGTTTTTCTAAAAGATCTGCTCTAAGAATTATTGTGGGGCCATTCTCCGGGCTGTGTTACGCAGGAGGTCAGAGGAGATAATCACAATGGTCCCTTCTGGCCTAGGAACCTAGGAATTTATGAACATTTGAACAAGAAAAGCAGGCTGACATCATCCTGCTCAGTGGCATTTCCGCCTCCCTCGTGGCAGGAAATTGTGTGTGCTCTGTATCTCGGAAGGGAGGCTGTCTGTGTGATTATATCTAATGGGGAAACCTGACCTATAGCTCCTAGAGTTCAAAATTGTGAGTATCCCTGAAGCAGCAAAGAGAACTTCACTAGTGCCCTTCATTTGGGGCTCTCAAAGCATTTTGCTATCTCTAGTTATAACCCACTCTGAAGTAGGTAAGAATTTGTATTTCCGTTTTGCAGATGGTTGTGGGGAAGGGGAACTGAAGCTCTGAGCAGAGGGGACTTGCCTAAGATCAGTAGCAGGGTTGGGCGTGGAACTCAGGAGTCCTGTCTCCTAATTGCCCTGCTCTAACTTCCCTTTTTGGTCTGGATAAAGGTTGCATTCCTGTAAACTTCAAGGACTGCCTCCTCAGTTGGTGTAAATCAGTGTACTGCTTGCTTCCCTGAAACAACTAGAGTTGCACCGATTTATACCAGCTGAGGATGTGGCCCAAATAAATGATCTTCAGCCCTCTGTTAAAGCAAGAAATCCAGATAGGTGTTGTTTGCACAAATTAAGAGCAGAGATTGTAGGAGGGGGAGTTAACCAGAGCTGGGCAACAGAGCCATCCCTTGGGTAGGGCGAATCAGAGCAACCGCTCCAGGCCCCACACTTTGGGGGGGCCCCGCAGGTCGATGCAATTGGCCAGTGCGGTTGGTCCTGGAAGAGATGAATCCGTCCCTTCCACCCCGGGCCCCTCACCCCCCTAGGGATGGCCCTGCTGGGCAAGGTACACCAGACACTTACTAGCTGGTGTAAACCTATTTGCTGGAGGTCAGCTCAAAACATGAGGGTCAAGGGCCAGTGAGCCAACACCTTGGTGAGAAACCAAGCACTGGGATACCAGGGAGAGGGAAGGTATTGAGGTTGCTAATTGACACAGGGACACCTCTTCCCCCCATGCAGAGCTTTGGGAAGGGGTTGTCTTGGCTCCTCTTTCCCATTCCTTGTGGCTGCAAGGTCTGGCTTGTGGGATCCACCTTCTCCCCAATGAATAGCCTGCAGCTGCTCAGAGCTTGGCAAAGGTAGTGCCAAGATACTCCTCCCTCTGCCCTCTGGGCAGGCTGTTACAGAGGCTTGGTATGAACTGGATGTGTGGCTTGTCTCCCTACTTGGGAGGGTGGGGGTTATTCAGTGGGGTTTTGTGCCTTTCCCAGCCAGAACCCCAGTGCATCTTAGAGCATCTGTACCGAATACTGCCTTAGAACTGGTGAGGTCTGCTTCAGGATTCTGTCTCCTGGGGAGGGCAAAGCAGCCCATAGAGCCTAGGATCTGACTCTGTTCTCAAAAGAGAAAAGGAGGACTTGTGGCACCTTAGAGACTAACCAATTTATTTGAGCATGAGCTTTCGTGAGCTACAGCTCACTTCATCGGATGCATACTGTGGAAACTGCAGAAGACATTATATACACAGAGACCATGAAACAATACCTCCTCCCACCCCACTCTCCTGCTGGTAATAGCCCATCCAAAGTGACCACTCTCTTTAAAATGAAAAGGAGTACTTGTGGCACCTTAGAGACTAACCAATTTATCTGAGCATGAGCTTTCGTGAGCTAGTGAGCTGTAGCTCACGAAAGCTCATGCTCAGATAAATTGGTTAGTCTCTAAGGTGCCACAAGTACTCCTTTTCATTTTAAAGAGAGTGGTCACTTTGGATGGGCTATTACCAGCAGGAGAGTGGGGTGGGAGGAGGTATTGTTTCATGGTCTCTGTGTATATAATGTCTTCTGCAGTTTCCACGGTATGCATCCGATGAAGTGAGCTGTAGCTCACGAAAGCTCATGCTCAAATAAATTCGTTAGTCTCTAAGGTGCCACAAGTCCTCCTTTTCTTTTTGCGAATACAGACTAACACGGCTGTTACTCTGAAACCTGTTCTCAAAAGGTTCCTGGTATGTGCTAAATGACTTGCATTAAATAGGGCTGGTCAGAAAATGAGGGAGCAGGGGAAATTCCCTGCAGGAAAACCTTGCTTTTTGCTGAAAAAGCAAATAGCTTTCTTTTTGATTCTGCCCCTCATTCCGCAGCCTGGATTTTCCATGGAGAGCACACGCTTCCCATCAAACTGTTCAATTAGTAGAAAACCCCAGTTTTTTCCAGACTGGGTGGAAAACTTGCAGCCAGCCCTCTTGTGGAATGCCTGGGGATCCATGCGGTCCTGTGGCTGCAGTACCTCATTCCTCAGGAATTTCACTGCCCTTTAGCACTAATGAACGGCCATGTATGGTAACCTGGCTAGTGAACAGTGGTCTGGTGTTTACATGGCCAGCTCTTTCTCTTCTGTTGTGGAGCAGGCTCAGGGACATGGCTTGTCCCCCCTGGTAGCAGCAGAGGGCTCGGCCCGGTCTCTAGTGGAAATTTTCTGCCTCTCTCAAAGCCACTCCTGAATATGGCATGACTGAGTCTGTCTGGGTTTGGGGAAGCTGTCTGCTTGGAAGGTCAGGTGTGCACTGGCAAGCTCTGTGTGCGGATCCTGTGCTAGCCATGGGCTGCTGCTAGTCTCTCTCTTTCATGGACCCTAACTCATCCTGTACTGACTCCATGCTCCAAGTCAAAACCCACGGAAAGGCCTCGCACAGTGAGTGCTGCTCTCCTCAGCTAGACTGATCTGGTCCCAGATTGCACTGGTCATCATGCTGCGAGGCTTGAGACCTGATTCTCTTTTCTCTCGCACTGGTCTGATGTGCGTGTATCTCTACTGACTTAATGGGGTAACTTCTGATTTGCACCAGTGTGAGTGA